TTTTTTTTTTTTATCGAAATTTAAAAATTATTAGCTAAACTATTATTTATTTTAACACACACTTAACATAAGCACAAGCAATCTTTAGCAGATAATCCGATAAAACCGATATTCATGAAATGAAATCCACTCCATTAGCTCCATTTCATTGAAACGCTTGAAAATGAATGACTAGACTACACATGCTTTTAGCCAGCGCCAGCTGCGCCTTTAAACAAATCTATCGGCGTGTTGAGCATGAAGCAGAATGTTGAAAAATATATTTTCTCAATATCCAGCTTAAATGTACCGTGGAGAAATGTCGGAGAGTATATGAGTATGCTCATGGAGAGCCATAGCTATTTTAAATACTTTTATATCTTTAGTGGATTTAGTGAGAGGGAGTGTGTTTATAGATCTTTCTTCAATCTAAATTTGCAATTTATAGAAAGCCATGAGCGATAATATCGGTAAAGAATGTAATCCTTTATTTTATCCTCACCATATCTTCGTCAAATTTATGAAAGGTTCAAATATTGATAGAATTTGGAGGATTTTTTTGCAACGCAACGGATTCTCTGCTATATAAATAAAATAAAATTAACATTATTATCATCAATATAAGTACAAAAGTTAAAATTTAAATTTTTTTTTTTTTTATTTTTAAATATTAAAAATATACTAAAGCCATTAAAGATTAGATTAAGAGATTACAAAATTATATATTTATATATTTATAGAATATATATTTTATACATATTTTATTTTTATATTCTATCTTTTAAGAAAAAGACTTCAAAATATATTATGTATCTACATATGTCACACATGTGTATATTTTGTTTTGTTATTTCAAATTCTGTCTTTTTAGGAAGAGAGTAAAATTTGCTGTGCTTTGTGTTTCTTATGGAGAGTAGCTATGTTTTTTTGAGAGTAAAATTTGCTTTGCTGCGTTTCTTATGCAAATATTTTTGAAAATAAAATTTCTCGTCTGTGTCTTTTGGAGAGGAAAATTTACTTTGCTATGTGTTCTTATGCAAGTACTTTTGAGAGTAATAATGTCTTTTTTGGCGTAAAATTTTGCTTTTTGAGAGTAAAATTTTACTTAACTTATCTTAAGAAATAATGATATACAGTCAAAGTACCATGAAATAAATAAATGTATGGCCATAAGAAAAACGTGTACTGTTTGATCTATAAAAACGCTAAAATATTTGAGTTGTAACAAAATTCAAGTAAAAAGCAAATTGTTAAATACATCTAATTCTCTTTTTCCACGAATTTTTTCAAACGAAATTTGATTTAACAGGATTACAAAATTCTTTTCTTATACAAATTGTTTTGTTTTAACACGATTTTCAATATTCTTGAAATTTATTCTAGTTGCTCACTTTCTCGATGGCCTTGCATTTTAACAGAGGTTTTCCCTGTTAAAATGCCATTTAACAGATGTTTCGACTACTTGTTTGGTATTTAACACAGCTGAATGGCGTTACCATTTAATAGAGCTGCCAATTTTTGATTATTTTTTTTAACTATTACAAGCAACTCTGCGCATACTCTTCTTATTTTCCTTTGGTGTGAAGAAATAGGCGATTAACGGTTTTTTAGTCATTTTGCAAGCGCTTCTGGAGCATTAACAAATTGAAATTTTTGTAAGAGGAGTGAATCTGCTAATTAAGCCAAATTAAAGCAAAAATAATCAAAAATTTATATTAATATTATAAAATATTATTTGTGAGTTGTGAGTTTATTATTTTGCTAATAAAGTAAAGTGTATAACGTCTAACAAAGGCAACAACGAAACAAAAACGGTGAGAATTTTAGAACAATTTTTTGTCTTAGTTCTGTCTTGTGACTGCGCTGATGAATGGAATGGAAAAAACCCATGATAAGTCTTTGACTTCGATTACCAAAAAAGCGCATAACAATGTTACTATGGATGAATTACTTTGTAAAGAAAACGGCATTTATCCTGCTGTTTGCAAAACTCTGAAAAAAACATCGAAAAGAGTATTAGTTTAGTCAATTTACGTTCGCTTGGTGTCGAAAGATTTTCTAGTATTTTTTCGCTCCTATGTTAACGCAAACTTCTCTAAGAAAGCTACTAAACACGATTCTGTAAAACATTTTTCGCTCATTTTGATATTAAAAATCACTTGTTGGGCTTTGCTCAATACATGATTGGTGTTATTCGAAGTGCATAAAGCGATTTTTTATTAAAACTAAATCTTTATTCTGATTATCTAATCAACATATTTCTCTTTGCTATTATTTTTCACATTTTTTTGACTTTACCCTAATTGTCGAAGTCGCCAATATATGTATATGATATACCCATAGTCTTACTGTCCCAGCCAAGTCCACAACTGTCAAAGCCCTTAGTCCAACGCTTTTGTTAAAGATGTGTGCTCGTTAGCAAAAGAGGTTAACATGCAGGAATAATTTCCTTCAAATTAAACGGTAAATGTTTTCCGAGAGCAGTGTTCACAATATATAGGCCTCAACAATGTTATAATAATGAGGTGCAAGGTTGATAGAAATAATATAGAGTCGCTGAGAAATAATTTGCTTTAATGTCCCGAAAAAACCAAGCAAAGTTACCACAAAACTCTCTTTGCGTTTGTAAAAAAACAGCTGCAAAAGAAATATATAAACAGCTGTTAGAAAATGCAAAAACTTAAAAAAATTAAACAAAAAATAAAGTGTGTGAATTGTGAAGAAAAAGATAAACAAATTTAGAAAGAGTAAGCCCAATTTTTCCTTTAAATATTGAGCTAAATTGAACTAAATATAGTCTAACACAAATTCTACATCATTTTCCATTCATACGATTTTGCTTGCTTGTTATTGTTTACCATAGGTAGTTTGTTTATATAAAACAAATAAATGTCAATTTGACTCTCATTTTTGACGTTTTTCGCACTAGTTACTATTATTAAAATTTGAGTAGACGTATTAGAAATACTTTACATCTCTAATAAGTTATCGAGAATTAGAATAAAGCCCATCTCTCAATGAATATATTCAAAAACAAAGTATTCCCACACGTGTTTGTAAGTTTTGTTTTTGAATTGAAAATATAAATATTTTGGAGCATTTTTGAATATGGCGGATGAAGAAGATCGACCACCTGAAGCTACAGTAGACTTTGTGCCCGCGATTTGTTTTGTACCACGTGGGGTTGCCAAAGAGAAGCCTGACAAAATAGTTCTTACCAAAGAAGAATTAGCTCGCGTAATCAAAGAAACCAAAGAGCAATTGGGAACAGACGACGCAGACGCTGATGATGACAACGAAAGCGATGAAAATGATACAATGGAAATTGATGATAATGAAGAAGAAGCGCAGGTAGGATATGAAAACATTAATTATTAAGAGATTAACTGGGCTAAGCCAATAAGGATAAAATTTTCCTTTTTTGCTATATAAAAAAGTGCATTGTCACCTGTCGAATGTTTGAAAAGAAACTTTAGTTTTGCTTTATATTTTTTACAACTACAACAAGCAACATTTAGAACATTTAGTGTTTTCACCTGCTCCCACCTAATGAATTTTTGTTGTCAAGTACACCTTTCAATTCAAAGCGACTAATTCGTGTAATCCTTTCAAGGTACGTGAGTTTTCTTTCGATAACTACGAACAAGAAGAAGATAGCCGTGCAGTTGATATTACCAACGTAGTCGACGTAGACAATCAAATAGCCGATGAAGACGATGACTCCGAAGCCGAAGACGAGATCATCAAGCCTACCGATAACTTACTCTTAGTAGGTCATGTGCAAGATGATGCAGCTTACATGGAAGTTTGGGTATTCAATGAAGAAGAGGAAAGTTTATATACGCATCATGATTTTTTGTTGCCCAGTTTGCCGTTGTGTATAGAGTGGCTAAATCATGATCCAGGAAGTGATAAGTCTGGCAATATGTGCGCAATTGGTTGCATGGATCCCATTATTACTGTTTGGGATTTAGATATACAAGACTCGCTAGAACCTACCTTCAAGTTGGGCTCAAAAAAAAGTCGGAAAAAGCAAAAAGAAGGATATGGTCACAAAGATGCGGTATTAGATTTATCTTGGAATCGTCATTACGAGCATATATTGGCAAGTGGCTCAGTCGACCACTCGCTAATACTATGGGATTTGGATGAAGGTCGGCCGCATACCACAGTAACAGCTTTTAAAGAAAAGGTTCAATCGTTGGAATTTAGTCCCGATGAAGCTCAGCACATTCTTACCGGCTGCGCCGACGGTCGGGTTCGTTTATTTGATTGTAGAGATCCTCAATCGGTAAACTCTAGTTTTGTTAAATGGAAAATAGTGAATGAAGTGGAGAAGGTTTTATGGAATCCCAACAGCAATAATTATTTCGTAGTCGGCGATAATGCTGGATATTTACACTATGCGGACAAACGTCATCCCAAAAACTTCTTATGGTCACAAAAAGCCCACGAAGAGGAAATATCAGGCGTTTGCTTCAATACGAACGTGGAAAATCTTTTGGCTTCCACATCTACAGAAGGTTGCTTAAAAATTTGGAAATTCGACTCTAGCGAAATTTCGCCAGTATATTCCCATGAATTCGAAATGGGCCGCTTGCAATGTCTGAAACAAAGTCCTGAAGACCCCTTCACATTAGCTTTTGGTGGAGAAAAGCCGCCCAGATGCCGGGTGTACAATATAAAAAACTTCGTAGCCGTACGAAGAGCTTTCGATATCCCCGATGCTGAAAATATCTAAAAAGTGTTCCTTTTTTTTTAAAAGGTTTGTAAGAATTTATTTAAAAATATTTATAAAATTTTTTATGGAAAAATAAAAATGAACGATATATTTTATAAATTGGTATGTATTCATTGGGGTTCCTTATTATCAAGTTGCACCAAAACTACATGTTCTCCTCGAAGTAATAATTGTGGTGTATGTCTTTTAATTTCAACAGTTTTTCGATTCAAACTTTTCGCACTCTGTAGAGGCAACGTTAGGCCCAGTTTACGTAAACGGCGGCTGCAATCTTCCGGGGTCTTCAGCAGTGGCAGTTTTTGATCGGCATATTTGAATTTTCGTTGCTTATAGCATTCTTCTACGTCAGTTAATAAAAGATTCCAATGACGATCAAAATACTGAAGAAATCCCATGACATAGCCTCGTATACCCTGTTCTTTACGTACAATTACACGTACTTTATATTTACTACTTATATACTTATTTAGCTCACTTAATGGTCCATTGGATTGTGTCATTTGTGTGAAGAGATTTCGTCTTTTTTTCATTTGTGGTTGACTTTTAACAGGTAATTGATAATTCTGGAATCGTCGCAACGGTTCCTCTTTAGCGCCAGCTTTGCTCGTAGATGGCAATGCATCCTTATTGGATGGCTTATTTAGGCCATAGATGCCGACTTTTGCTAGAGCGCTTTCGAAAGCTGCGAAATTTTGATAAATTATTTTCGGATTCTTAACCGTAATACGATAATCTTTGGCATAGAGGGCTTTTAAGGGATTAAACAAATCGCTGGATATATCTAATTCTTGCGAGTCTGTACGCGAACTTGATTGATCCGTTTTTTCTTCTTGCGGTTTTGTCTCCTCCTCTTCTTGCGACTTTGATTGATCATTTGATGCGGCCGATGCATTTTCTTGAGATGGAGGATCAATTTTGAAACTAATTTAATTGAATAATTTAAAACAAAAAAAAATGTTTATATTTTCTTGCAAATATGCGCGCTGTTAGACTGCAACAGCTGTTTCTTTAACATTATGCGCTTGACGGCTGAACAAAGGAGAGGGGAATAGAAGATAATATATATTATCGAACAGCTGGAGCAACTGGATGAAACTACGAGTGCCAACAATAAAGGCCCATGAAAATTAGGATACACTCTTTGATATAAAATTCAACAAAGTTTTGATACAGATCTCAACGAATTTTCCGTTGTTGATTTTCTTAATAACAGAAGAGGAAGAAGAAAAAATTAAATTTTATTTCGCTTTTGGCTTTTGCGAAAAGAAAATCAAAAAAGTAGAATGCATTAATTTTTTATGAACGCGACGACCGTGCTTTTGTTTCACGCGCAAAGCTAACCACGAAAATCATCGAATTTAAGCGCTATGTAAATAACACTTCTCATTACCTTATCATCGTCACCAATAGACCACCATCGCTAGTCAAAATACATAGAAATGCCTATTAGATAACAATAGCGATGTTTTTGCCGCATTCTATATTAAAACCCGGTATAAATGCAGTTTTATATAAAATTGTTTCAGTTTTGAACACCAATGATGTATCAATCAATAATCTGTTAAAACGAGAAATACATACGTACATATCCGAGGTGGATTTCAGGCTCGCTCATTTAATTACTCTCAGATGATTCCAAATTCAGGTGAAATTATCTTTTAGTTAACTAGTTTTAGTTGAGAATTACGTACGGCTATCGGAATTCGAAATTTTACTTCGGTATAATAATGAGAAAACAGGGAACAAATTGTACGTGTGTTTCTTTACAATGATACAATAAACAAAAAAATCATGCAAAGGTAAATAAGAACATAATTATCTAAAACTTTTGACGAAATGAAGTCAAATGGAATATTAAACACTTTTAACAGAAAAAACAATTTAAAAATTGCAACTAATGAGTCGCATTGCTTCTCGAATTGGCGCGCATACTTACACATATATGAAATTACCTAAAATTCGAATGTGTTTGGAATAATAATGTTCAGGCAATTTTGGCGCGTCAACTAAAATTTTTGCAAGCCATGCGTTGCCGTTTATAAGTGGAACACGAGTGTAAGTACGACTGCGATGTGAAGTTTTGGTGTATTTGGCAATTGTTCGAACCCTTTTCTGCATGGTCCATCAGAAACTGCAAATTCACCAAATTTCTTCATTTTTCCTTGTTGGATTGCGTACAAAACACAGTGGCGTAAATGAACGCTATCAGTAACCAAGGATCCACGACCGCGCCTCACTTAATATTAACGTAAACCTGCTAGGAAATAGTCACACTACACACAATTTGATGCCATATGATATGTGTAAGTGTTTGAGTCGATTCGCAAAGCAATGCAATTTATTAGTTGCAATTTTTAATTTGTTCTTTCTGTTAAAAGTGCTTAGTATTTCATATCACTCTATTTCGTCAAAATGTTTTTTTTTTTGTACATTATACCATTGTGAACAAACAAACGTCAAGTTTGCCCCTTATTTTCCCATTATTTCCTCAAAGTAAATTTCGAATGGTGAAAACTTTACATGATTCCCAACGAAATGGTTCTCAAGATACGTCTTCCAATTAAGAGCTAATTAATTAAAATGTACACAATCGGTTGCCAGAAATTTTAAAATGTCATCAAAAAATTGCTTCGACGCAAAAGCAAAGCAAGCTATAAGATCAACAACATATTAACACATAATCAATTTTATTTTGATTATATTTGCTTGAATCTAAAAGTTATTGCTGTGGTCAGCGTTTTATATGTTACTTTAATTTTTTGTGATATATTGTGCGTAAAGTCGTTATGTGAAAATATATATAATAATAAAATGTAAGAATATATCTATAAATATTCTCCATAGTTGATGACCAAGAAAAGTTGTTCAAAAACTGCGAAATCACAGCAGAGGTAAGTTTTAAGTCTTCGAAGCTGTTTGCCTATCATTGTTTCAATATTGTCGTTGCTTTATAAAATTTTCACTTTATGAAGTCTCTCAATATGTTCCAAGTAATGACAAGAACCATTAATTTAAGCAAAGAAAGAAAGCGTTGTACATTTCGAATTTTCAATGCATAAGAGAGGAATTTTGGAAAAAAACCAAGCAGAAGATTATATATATATATATTTAGTAGTGTCATGAGAGAATTGCCAATATAAAAAGATTTCACTAAAAAACGATGTTATTTTAAAATGTTCGTTTTAAATTTATGAACACCGTCCAAAGTATTTAAACCTATAAAATTAGTAAATATTTCAACAAACCGTGTCGCATTACTTTCGACGTGGGCTAAGCAAAGCGTTTTTCTTAAAATTTACGAGTAAACTTAGGACATCGAACGAATTAAAATTAATAATAACTTCATTTTTTTCAACATATATGGAAGCACTTTTCCAATTTTTTTTATCATCGAATAGAATAAAAAATATCTATCTGAAACAAGATTAAACATCTACGCGTGTTAAGAAAAAATAAAAGTTAACAATCGGTCATTGTGCAACGACGCCTCTTAACAGTGCGCTTTGGACAAGGCTGACCTCCGTTTTTAGGTTCACTGATAACGTAGCGATAACGTTCAGAATAACCGAGACCGCAGCGAACACTGCATTCTGACCAATTTGACCATTCTGACATAATGCAACCTTCTGGTACACTATCATCTGGATTATGGGAAGCATAAGCGGTTTCAGGAAAATTAGGTCTTGATGTTACAATTTGAACACTAGATGTTGCCAGAATGCTGCAAGTATTTAGGCAATCAATTTCAGTTAAGAAATTATTTCGATTCCCACGGCAGCCACCATAAGTAAAAGTTTCGCAACGTCCACTTTCCTTGTTATAAGCGTAGCGCATATAACTTCCACGGCAAGGGCCGGCGTCAAAACGTTCCGAACATAAATCTAAATCGTTAAAAACTTATTTTTAATAAAATCTAAGCATTTTTGCGCACTGCGTTTACTTTTGGCCATGTCGAGGCTAATGGTACAGTCTTGCGATACCGAACACTCTTTTTGTTGGTTCAAATCCAGACGCTTCGTACAATTCTCCTTAATTGTTTCGTCTTCTAACAGTAACAAACGGGTGCGTATCGTAACGCCTCGGCCGCAAGTGGCTGTGCATGGACTCCAATCGCTCCATTGCGTAGTAGGACACATGGGATCAGGCAATTCTATTTGTTCAAAGACGCAGTCCGGTTGCATGCATTTCTGTTTTTCAACGATGCTGATATGCGGACAGCGTTTCCGTCCCAAGTGATTGATGAAAGCACGAGTTCTCATTGTAATGCCGATGCCACAAGAAGCTGAACATTCAGACCATGCACTCCAATGCGTTGTCTGACATAACCCATTTCCTTCACCATTTTCATTGACCGGAGAAATAGATTTCGCCAAATTTTCTCCTTCCTCTTCGTCTTCCTGTGCACTTTTTGACAAATGTACAAACGGTTTAGTAAATGAAAATTTTGAATTTAATACTTGACTAAGCTTACCCGCATTCTGGTATAGCGGCAGCACACATTTCTTTCATGACCAACTGTCGTGTGCACATGGCAGCTTCGGCCTTTTCTGGCTGCAAATAATGTCTGGTGCGCATGCGAATACCCTTGCCACAAGTTACCGAGCAAGGTGAGAATTCAGAATATTCCGTTACACGGCACTCAACTAGATTGCGTCAAAATTGTTCATTTAGAAATTAATTGGTAGTTATTAGGTAACAAATAACTATTCACCCTTTGTATCCTGTTCCTCTATGTTATCAGATACATCAACTTTCAAAGCTTGCAGAAAATCATCATCACAGTTTCTCGGCAAAATTTTTTCTCTTCTAATGTACAATTTGGCCAAAGGCGTCATGTCACGAGATGTTGGATTATAGAAAGGCGCACGAGGATCTTCCGGATACATTGTAGTAATGCGATACATGCGTTCTCTCGGCTGGGTTTCCAAGTTCGGCGACATGTAAGAAATGCCTGAATCGGTGCCGGCATCCCACGGATACAAATCGAAGTCCAAAGCGTCTTTCCACGAGCAATCATCCATGCATAGATCTATGCCGTTTATACCAACCACCCAATCGGGCGAGGGACCAAACATAGATACCATAGAAACCTTATGATGTTTACGATCGACACGAAATGTTGACGAAGTGTTAGTATTTACTTGAGGGTACCATAGACCAGCAGCTTTTATTAAAGTTCTTAAGCGTGGCCCTTTACCTCTTAGCTCAGCCTCTAGAGCACTTGGTGAACCAAATTCAGCCAATGAACGAAAACCATCAGTGGCTATATGATTTTCTCCCCAAAATGAAAAATTGGTTTCATGTGAAGCTCCAACGATATCGGAGAAATGCGTCAACCATGCTGCGAAGGGAAAATCTTTTGGATGGGTTTCATCGGACCAAATGCCTTCGAAAACGAACTGAAAAAGAAATGTCGAAATAAATCATTTTTCAAAATCGTCAAAAAAGAGTTATCTAAAAGAAGTGATGCCTACGCTATATTTCGCTTCATCGCAAGCGCAACACATTTTCTGGGCAGTGTTAGAATCAGGTCGCTTTTCACAAATTACTTGACTTAGTTGACCGTCGTCTGAGAACCAAGAACGCGGCCCTTCGTAAACCATGGCCGAGAGAGATACGCAACCCGAGCCCGCGGCAGGGGCAACCCACATAACTTGTACTTCTGTTTTCGGTAAATCGTCGGCTTCGGAGACGGTATTTACACAACGATCGCTGAACTTTGCTAAACCGTCGCTAAATAATTGAAAACGGCCGACACGTTTCGGCGTGGCCGGTACGGGACGTCGGGCGCCTACGTGAGCTTCGGCGGTTATTGTGAAATGCGTGAAATGCTGCACTTTCATATGGGTGCGTGAACCCAAAAGCAGTACTGTAAAGAAACAATACCGCGACGCGGTTTATTTTTTGTTATTTTTTGATTAAAGTTTCATGCTAAAGCTTGCCATTATAAGTCTTGCCAGGCACATAGCCGTTGGGACTGTCCGCTACAATTAACTTATATCCATTATCACCACGCGAACGGCGACCATGTTGTAAGTAAGTCGGTGCTCGGGTGCAACTCTCAACTGAAATAATTGCGCTACTAATAATGAGCAACAAAAACGCAACACAGTTATGACTACTAATAGACGAAGGCAGTAAATGTTGTGGCAGTGTCATCATTTTGATTATTTCAATGAAATCAAATCAATTAAAATGTCGGTTAAATTGTATACATAAGCTTAAGATGTATGCGCAAAATTTTTATTAAATGTTCCGTATGTTTCAAAACATAAATATTCGAAACCCAGTTTACTGTTCAACTATCCGAAGCGATAATATAGGTCACGCACTATCAGTTCAATTATCACATTTATTAAAAAACAAACATAAGCAATTAAAGGCATTAGCCTTTAAAGTGATTGCTACCGATCGATCTATATATATACATATATATATATTTATATGTATATAATATTAATTCTATGTTTCCTTATGTATGTGTTTATTAGAAGCTAAGCTAAGCTAAGCTAAGCTCCGTGCAGAACAACTGAACTGAGTGAATAACGAGAGAAGACTAATTTCCAATTAAAACTTACAGCATGAATGTTTTTATTTAAAGTCTTTCCTTTGCCAGTAATCACATCAGAAAAACAAAAAAAAAAAATAAAATAAATAAATAAAATAAAAAAATAAAATATGAAATTTCTTATGCCATATGAATGTAGAAAAATTATAAAAAAAAGAAGACGCCAGCGGAAATGATCCAGAGAGTAAAAATGTTCGCTTATTCAATGGCAATGAGTTGTTGTAATGCTGATAATTTCGGATATGGATGCGGGTGGAATGCATAGATTTTTTGCGGAACATATCTCAATAAATCATTTCATGAACGTATATATTGAACGAATTTAATTTCATTGTATATAATTGAATCATATATAGTTTTAGTAAATCGATTTATGCCCTAACCTTAGAGTTCAATTGCTTTGCTTTTGCGCTGATAACAAATGCAATACCGCAACTAAATGAAAAAAACGCACTCTAATCGCAACTAAATATGATAAACAAAACAATAAATAGGTTTTCCGCTTTAGAAGAAGAAGAAGTAGAAAAAAAAAGATGAATTACTGAAGGATGTGGTTTTAGTCATTTTGTCCTTTTTCAAAAGGAAGCGTCAGAGATCCTATAAAGTATAGATACTCTTGATCAGTATGAAATTCTGAAACGATTAAGCTATGTCTGTCCGTCACCGAAATGAAGATATCGAGTTTAAATTTGGTAGAAACATTGCAAGTTTTTGCATGCAGGCTGCCATCGAAAATGGTCCAAATTGGTCAGACCAGAAGCCCTCAGTGGAGCATAAATTAAACGCTACTCCGTTTTTCTTGTGCGTTTTTACTCGTTACACAAAAATTGTAAAAGTTAGGAGACTAATAATTTCCTTGCAAAAATGGAAAAAATCCTCCCTGTCCACACAAAGTTACAAGTGATTAAATTTTATTTTTTTCTTTCACTTTTTCAAAATTGCATGTTTGTTAATCATCAGGTCAGCAAGACAGAATGTTTAAAACTACTTTCCTATATTCCACAAATGAAGATATACTGTCTGCCTAATAATGGCTTGACTCTAAAATGAGTATGGTAGGCACCGCGACTTGGTGTATTAATTTTTTCTTAATAATACAAGCGATATGGGTGTTATGTAAGAGGACTTAGAGAGTCGAACGCGAGATGGTAAGTGGATTAGTTCCAAATAAAATGTGACGGACGTCACGATTTAGTAGACTATAGTCGCATATACGGTAGTATGGCGTTGATGTGGGTATCGCATAAAACGACTTGGAGAGTAGAATGCGAGAAGCCAAGTGAAGCGAAATTAATTTGAATGGATGTCACGACTTAGTGGATAAGTGTTTTCTTAAAAATACCTTCGATATAAATGTCAAATGAAAGGAGTTGGAGAGTAGAAGGCAATAAGATGTCTTAGTTATAATTTAATTATGGTGGAC